TTTGCACGGATGCATGACATTTATCAAATGGATTCGTATTTAAACTGTTTGATTTGTTTTAGCATAGTTTTCCCCCATTTTTTGGGGTTTGTTTTTCCCTTTTGTCTGTTTTTCTTTCTCAGAAATTAAAATAGTTTTTTGTTTTTCTCTCTCTTTTTTTAATTTGGTTTTGTCTCTGTCTCATAAATTACATTTTGTGTTTGTTTTGGTTTTGTCCCCCTCCCCCTTTCATTAGTTTTTCTCTGTCTTATAAATAACATGTTGTGTTTTGTTTTGCTTTTTGTCTTGGTTTTGTGTTTTCCCCTTTGTCGTCTGTTTCTCCATCTCATAAATGCGTTAATATTTTTAGATTCAATCGCAGCAAATTTATATTCTCTGTGGTCTGACGTTTTGGTGTTTATCCTCGATATGTAGCTTGGGAGCAGTGGGTTGTCTCAGTTTGCTTCATCTCTCCAGCAGGCACTGCTTGTTAATACATTTTATTTTGTATCACACTCGTTCCATTTGGACTAGTGAATCTAGATTATGCTGTTGAATTGGGCTAGTCTTATGAGTTCTGTTTTATTATGTGGCTTTGCTGGGTTTATAATCATTTGTTTTGCTTTTTGATTATGTATAGGTTTATGTTTAAGAATATGCTTGCTGAAATCTGGTAGTAGCTAGTCAATCGCATGTTCATGTGATCTCAACATGGCGACTCCCATGATGGCATGACACTCTTTATGTAGCACAAAACGGCTTTTAGTTACAGAGAGAGAAGAAAAGAAAAGAAGTAAGTGCACCTTTTAAGCCTCCAGTATTTCTCGGCCAGGTGTTTCCATCATGAAAGTCATAGGCTAGGAGATCAAAAACCTTTATAGCTTTATATAAAAAACAAAAGAAGTTAGTGCTAAGTAAAGCTAAGTAAAGTAAAGTTTACCATTTTATAGTTAGGTTTGTCATTCTGTTATAGGCGCATTGTATTTCTATTTTTATAGGGATATATACATTTACGGTAACACTATATTTAATAGACCAATTCTCATTATTAACTAGCATGCATATGACTAGCATACTGGCTGTTTATTAGCACTTATAAAGCACATATTAATGCCTTATTCATGAGCATATTTTAGATCCCTTAATAATCCACCCCATACCTAAATTTAACAACTAACTATTAATAAGCAGCAAATTAGGAGTTCATTGAGGCAAAAGAGAGTTAATAGTTGAATTGGACCTTAACATAAAGCGTGACCATATTTTCTGTTTTATAGGGATATGGGAATCATTGGCCCATAGTGATTTTTAATGATATCAGTATTATTAGATATTGAATATTCATTTTATTTACATTTGCCATCATCTAACACTCATTTAAGTTCATCTCGAAAAGCACCAATAGTTTATTAACATTGTTAAATGTCATCTTATACCCATTTTTAAAACTGTACATTAATAATTTTGTAATTTTTAAAATAAGTAACTTCTGTTTTTAGTGTTTTTATACACTTTTATACACCATTTATAGTATAGATTTCTAAAGTATAATTTTATCATATACATTTTTACCCAGTATGCTTTCTTATTTCACTTCATTATTTAACCATAAAGTCAAAACATAATGACTTTTAAGAGTCCTTAATGAATTATTCTGTATTTTTTGTGTAAAAAAAACCTGCTGTTTATTTAACCGACCTCATTTCAGCCCTGCTTCAAATGAATGTTCTGAGCTACTGATCTGATTTATGGCAGTCGGACATATGTTGTGGATTGTGCAAGTGTTAGTGGATGACTGCACAGAGAACAATCTCCAACACAAGTTACGACGACAGCCCTGTGATAGCATGGGACTGACTTGCTAGCCGTGTTTCTGTCTTACTCAACCTCTCGCTTCAGCATGAAACGCTCCAAGGACACTCCCTTTGGCTTGCAGGGCGTGAAACACAACCCATTCTCAAAGGAGAGTCAATTACAAAGGAACTCCAAGCAAATAGTCCAGCCCTGACCAGTATCACGTTACTTTTTAAAGTGATGACCTTGTAAAGAAAAAAGGAACTCTGCCTTTTCTCAGTTGTTAAACTTTGAAAACTGTTTTTTTCCCCCCCGTATGCGAACAGGTGCTTTAATGAGGCCCTGTGAGTTTTGGCGTGACTCACTACAAACACATGGAACCTGTTTTTCAATGGTGTGACATGACATGTAAAGGGTGGCGTCATTTCAGGTCTACTTTATATGATGTGGTGCTCCGATAAAAATCAGTTTCTCAAGTCCTAAGCAAAAAAAAAAAAAGTGTTGTGAATGATATCTTTACGTTAAATATTCTTGCTGAGGTTTGTAGTTTCTCGGGAAGTGGTAAGTATCGAATTAACATAATTAACTAAATGACCTTAATTGGATAAGTGTGATTAATCTGAGGTAAACACGGGTCCAGTGTGCTCATGAGTGACTCCATCCAGACCATTACTAAGATAAGACATCTCTGCTGCTCATTTCCCTAATATCTGTAGAAAGGCCCTGTCCCAGATTTGTCCCAGTATCTCCTCTCATCTCTTTGAAGAAGTAGAACAAGATCAAGAATCCAGTGTAGTTTCCGCTCCAGAGGTTTTCTCTGTCCGCCCCTCTCACACTGAGTAATGAGTGTATGTGTAATTTGGGTCACGCTTTTCTGATAACAGAACACTTACCCTGGTCATTTCCCGTGAGCGCATTTCATCCGGACCTGGCAAGGAAGCTGCCTTTATTACAATACATAAATAACATTAAAATAAGTTTTATCTAATGCTGCTTTTACTCACAGCCTGCAGACAGTATCACTGAATGCGTTTTTCTAGTTGACTAGATCGCTCGGTTAAAGTCACAGTAGATGCACTCGTTCACCAGTCATAGAAAACACACTGATGCATTGTTTGTGCAATTATGCACAAATGTGTCTATAACCCTTGCTACCCAGTCAATGATTTAACTGGCAGTGTTTTTGTATGAAGGCGTCACGTAAGGAAACTTTCAAGGCATCACAACCTCCTGACAATGATCTACAGCAAATTTAAAGGGATAGTTCACCCAAAAATGAGAATTACCCCATGATTCACTCACCCTCAAGCCATCCTAGGTGTATATTTCTTTGTTCTTTCAGATGAATACAATCAGAGTTATATTAAAGGGCACCTATTATGCCCCTTCTTACAAGATCTAATATAAGTCTCAGGTTTCCCCAGAATGTGTCTGTGACATTTCAGCTCAAAATACATTTAATATATCATTTTGAAACTGCCTATTTTTAGTTGGAAGCAGAAACGCACTGCATGTATCTTTAAATGCGCCACACTAGGGTTGCAAAGGGGTGGAAAATTTCTGGAAACTTTCCAAAAATCCCTGGAATATTCCAAAAAATCTTGTAAAGTTTCCAAAATTTCTGGAATGTTTCCGAAATTTACTGGACATTTTCCACCTTTTTGCAACCCTACTCCCCACCTGCATCGATTCAATTCAGAAGGTCTTTATTAACCCTGGATGGATGCATTTTTTGAGCTTCAAAATCTGGAGCCCCATTCACTGCCATTATAAAGCTTGGAAGAACCAGTACATTTTTTAATATAGCTCCGATTGGATTCGTCTGAAAGAGGAAAGTCGTACACACCTAGGATGGCTTGAGGGTGAGTAAACTTTCATTTCTGGGTGAACTATCCCTTTAAGTGACTTTTAGACATAACCAAGCAAATTGTTAGTGACTACGCTGCTTACTCCTAGGTCGAAATACAGTTTTTGTGTTGTGTGATGATATGAAGATCTTTTTCAAAATCTTTTAATCCGTTTTATTCTCCATACCTTATTGAATAACTAAAAAAATAGCCTTCTGTGATGCTGGGTGACTTTATCAGCTATATATTATTAAGTTAAGCAAACTAAGTCAATTCTTGAGGTCTGTTATGCGTACCAGATCTTCATTTATTTGATCAAAAATAAAATGTAAACAGTATAAGTGAAATATTACTACGATTTAAAATAACTGCTGAAATATATTTTACCTTTTGTAATGTATTTCTGTGATGCGCAGCTGTATTTTCAGCATCATTCCTCCAGTCTTCAGTGTCACATGATCTTCAGAAATCAGTATAATATGTTTATTTGCTGCTCAAGAACCAGTCAGTGTTGTGGAAAGTAGTATACATTTTGTGAAAACTGATATTTTTTATTTTTTTTTAATCTTTGTTTAATAGAATGTTCAAAATAATTTTTTTTTTTTTACTTCAAATAAATCTTTTCTGACATTACATACATTTTATATTTATAAATGTTTTTTATTTCTTTACTTTTACATTTGCAGGGCTGGTCTTGACAGCAGTTTGTCTGCGTCTCCTCCAGCTGCAGTGGCTCATGGGATCGGTGCTTTCATACTCTGTCTGTCTGTTCATTTATTGAATGGAGTTTAAGAGTGGCTTTATTTCAGATTTTATGCTTTTAACAGACACACGTTCTCTCCATCTCATTCTTCCCCCTCTCCATTTCTGAATTCCCAGCTCCTCTTCTCGTGTCTTCCTCATTCTCTTCTGCAGTACCATTCTAAACCTCTTTGTCACTGCTCTGATCCATCTAGTCATTTCCTGGCCCTGCTCGTCTCACTCACACTGCTCTCATTAACTCCGCTAAGCTGTTCTTCCCATTCTTTTCTTTTTTTCAGAATCCCCCTTGACTAGATCTCAATCTACATTATCTCAGGAGTGCTCCTGAACCCTCAGAAGATGTGGATGTTCTCTGTTTTGCGAAATACTGTGTCTCCAGCAGCCGCTCTCAGCAGTGAGGTAGGTGGAAATTCAAAATCCATTCTGTCTTCCCTCTGGGTTTCTGTGCTTTATTGAGAATGGACGGCTCCACGTGTAACCAAAAACGTATGTGTATCTGCCTGTTTCTGTCACATTTGTGTTTCAAACTGAGCTTTCTGCAATGATTGGCTCTGAATTCATGCGTGGGCAATAGTTTCTGTTTACTGATTGGCTGTTTAGTATTGTGTAAAGATTCACATGGCAAATTCACAGCTGTGGTGTGTGTGATGCACTGATTTAGGATCCTGGTTGTAGAGATTTATACATGCTGATGCTGAGAACACCGTTTAAAACCTTTTGACCACTGATAATAATAATGAGAATAAAATATGCATGTTTTTGTGGTGTCATTATTTATTATTTGTTTATTCATTTATTTTTAAATTGTATTTATTATTTTAGGAAAAAAAGAAAAATGGTCTCTGCATAATAATCTGTATTGGTTTGATTGATATAAAACAATATTGATCAACCTCAAATCAAATCTTCTTCTGTAGGCTTAAATCAAGATCAAATGCTTGAAAAGTGCTTGAAATTAGTTTTGTAGAAAAATCTAATTTGCGCCTATGTATTTTTAAAAATGAAACTGGCTGAAGGTCCAAATTACAGTTTCAGTGCAGCTTCAAAGGGCTCTACATGATCCCAGCCGATGAATAAGGGTCTTATCAAGCAAAACGACCGGTCATTTTCTTTAAAAAAAGGAATCAGGATTTTTTTATTCTGGAAGTGAACTAATCCTTTAATGACCCAATCTCAGTCTGACACACACCTGACTGGGAGTTTTGTCACAATGGTAAAACACAGAGGGCTCATTGTTTCACAGTTGACCAGGATTAGCAGCTTTCAGCTACATCTGAGTTAATTTACATAAAATAGGTGAGATGTTTTTCTGCTACATAGCAATATTCCAGTATAAATATTTAATTTATTATTTAAACGAATAATTTTAATTATATTTTAAACGTTTTATTTATTTATCTTTTTATATTTGTATTATTTTCATTAATTAAAATATATTTTTGAAAAAGAGTTTTTAAGCTAGAACCACGAAACTCAGGTCAGACCTTCAGCCTGGTCTAAGTCCGTATGCTATATCTGTTCTAACTGATTGGACTTTCATTAAATAGACAAGCAAAACTACGAAAAGTCCTTTTAGATTTTACATTGAGGGGGTCAAAACTTTTGTACAATAACGTTAATAGAGTTTTTAAGCTTTCACTAGCAAAGCTTGATGACTATCATAGGGCAACATGTTAAAACATGCTAACAACATGCTAAAACATTCAAAAAATGTGTTGAATCATGCTAGCAACATGCTAAAACTTGCTAGCAATGTGCTAAATCATGTTAACATGTTCAAACATGCTAGCAACATTATACATGCAAGCAGTGTTAAATCCTGTTAGGAACATGTTAAATTGTGCTAGCCACATGCTAAAACATGCTAAAAGTGTGCTAAATAAGTCATGTTAACAATATGTTAAATAGTGTTAACAATATGTTAAAACATGCTAGCAATGTGTTTGCTAGCAAAGTGTTCAAACATGGTAGCAACATTCTAATTCATGTTAGCAACGTGCGTAAACATTTTAGCAGTGTTAGAACATGTTAATAGCATTTTATTCACTTAAAATCCTCAAACTTAAAGCTAGTTATTTCAAGCCAACATTAAATTTTGTTCTAGTTTATAAAGTAAACTCATTTAGCAACTTCATACTGTAAAGGGAAAACTTGCTATACTTGCTATACTTTGACTGTTCTCTCCGGTGTGAATGACTTTTTCAGTCTCTTGACGTTTTCTCAGGTGGTGAAGATTCTGGAGAAGCATGACCCGCTGCGCAGTAATGTTGGTGGTCTTGGAGGACTCAGCAGCTTCCGTTTCGGTCCAATCCCTGGCGATGAGGCCAGCGCCGTGCAGAACTATGTAGAGCACATGCTGTTCCTCCTCATGGAGGAGGAGTGTGGTCAGAATGGAGCCATGGGGCCCATCCTGGAGTTTGTGGTGATGGAGAACGTGTTGGAGAGACTGTTTATCTGGAGCCTGAGGCGAGAATTCACAGATGATATGAAATTGGAGCAACTGAAGATGTACGAGATGCTGATCAGACAAGCCAAGCAGCCTTTACTTCATCATAAACCTGTGCTCAAGCCTTTGATGATGCTCTTGTCGTCCTGCTCCGGCTCCCCATCGGGTACAAGCTCCTCCGCTGTGGAGACAGAACTCGTGCTGCTCTTGAATCAGCTGTGCTGTGTCCTAGCTAAGGACCCGTCAGTCTTGGAGTTGTTTTTCCATACGAGCGAGGACCAAGGAGCTGCTAATTTCCTCGTCTTCTCCCTGCTCATCCCTTTCATACACAGGGAAGGGTCAGTGGGACAGCAGGCCAGAGATGCACTTCTGCTAATCATGGCTCTTTCTGCTGAGAACCAAGTTGTGGCCAAACACATCGCAGAGAACACCTATTTCTGTCCGGTATGAGCCTATTATTATATATCTTCCTCTTATATTTATACTGTTTCGCTATTTATGTTTCTCTTTTTAAAGTACTAGGATTCTGCCCAGAAGTGCTTACGATTACTAGAGTTACTGCTGTGCTGCCTTGCTTTATTTAATGCTGTGCATTGGCTAAATTACCATTTAATTAAATAGTCTTTAGGGACCATGGTGCTTTCTGAATTGTTGAGTGGATAAAAAGGCATTCCCATTTCACCCGTTTAAAATACTGTATTGAATCCCAGTGTAATTAATATGCTACTGATATATTGTGTATCTATAGGTTCATATTGCATATTTAATCATGCATGCTTATTAGTGAAATTTTCACATTTAGATTACTTTGCCATCATCTTGTGCTCACAAGAAGTTAATCTTGAAAAATGCTAAACATTTAATAACACTTAAATGCAATCTTTAGTAAATCCCAAAATGAATATGGATGTTGTGAACATTTAAAACTGTTGTTTTTAGTGTTCATTTTTAACTTTTTAGACAAACTATTCTAGAATTTTATAACTGGCCATTTATTGCCCATAAAACAAAACAAAAAAAATATCGGTATTGGCTGAAATCTTTACATCTGTAAAGACGGCTCATTAAATTGGGCCAGCTAATGTTAAATGGGACAGAACAAACTAAAAACGAACAAAACAGGAATCGAATGAACACCTACTGTACAACATCATCATAATTATATGAAGTAGCAAACCCTGAAGAAATATGACATTTATAGCCTCCGCTTATAATGAGCATGAGCTCTATTGTTATAAAAATAACACTTTTGAGTAATCTTATCTGGCTGTTTATGAAATCGCAATGAAATCCACAGTCAATGAAGCCAAAAGGACAGTTAAACTGGTTATATTTTTAGTGAATGCATGGATTGTTTCTGAATATGATAAAATTTTTCTTTCAAACATCTCCCACAATGGGCCCCGTAAGGGCATCCAGCAGCACAGTCTGTGCTTATGTAAAGTCATTAGAGATAATTGCATGATCTGTTACAACATGAATGAGTACCCGTCTTACTAAGATGACATCAGCCTCACATGCACTCTCAGCCCTTTCTGATCTCACATTCATCTGCCAGTGAAGGAAGCCAGGAGGCATGTAACTAAAGATTATTGTGCTATTATGATTGCCTTTTATTGAAGTGTTCACAAGTGTATTTTGAATTAATTGGCTATTAAATTTACTCACTATCCATATATTATAATCCTGACATCCAGCGATGTTTATCATTGATTTCAAAGCCAGAAGAAGAAAATACGATCCGTTAGTCAGGTTGTTCCAAGTTTATTTTTATGGTGGCAGATAGGGCTGCAACAAACGATTTTTTTGATTATCGATTAATCTAACGATCATTAGAATGATTAATTGACTAATCATTGATTATACTTGTGCTACTTCATTTCTACTGCGCTCTGCAATCCTGCTCCTGGAGGGCCACTTTCTTAGAGTATAGCTTCTGCACACCTGCCAGGAAGTGATCCTAAAGACCTTAATTGGCTCAGGTGTGTTTAATAGGGACTATAGCTAAATTCTGCTGGACAGTGGGCCTCCAGATAGAGTATTGGATCAATTTACACATAAAAACTTCCTCTTCATATTTTGCAAACATTCTTCTGGAAGTCTTATGTCAGGAGACAAAGGTTGAGCTATAAATAAACGTTATTGCAGTACCCTTATCTTGGTATGCCCAGTAGATAAAAGGAAGCAAAAATAAATTTAGACAGTGTCAATTTATCTTATTTGAGCTTAGCTTTGTGTGTAGGTGGCCCATCCTTCCATTAAAGACCAGCTGGTTGGCTACATTCATAATGGTTTTCTGGTACCAGTTCTA